AAGGACAAGAGACATATTAATTATCGCTCGAGATCGTATGCTTTGACAATACTGTACTGCTTACAGCAATCAGCACAGTACTCTGTCCGTCGAACCAATATATGCACTGATGATTAACATATTGCGGCAACACTATAATGACAGAGGAAACGTCAATTATCGCTTCCGAAGGTAAGCATGCACAATACAGTACAGAGTACATACAACGCCACAGTGCATATATCCTATGTTTCAACTTTATGTACAAATGACGTATATTAAACAGCCCTACAGGAATAATCAATGCATAGGTCATATATAGCTAGAGATAATTACAACTTACAGAGCAGTACTATGTACATCGACCAACTGAGCAAGGCAGCCGTTGTACTCATCTGTTCACTGCTGATTTAAATTCGTCGGCAATTCTATAATGATCGAAGCTTAAGTCAGGCGTATTTGGAGATATTAGCTATTGTAATATCAGTACTGGATATATCCATCAACGTATTACTACAGCCACACTGCCAAACTATTCTATGATAATCAGGGTTATATAGCTCCGTCAGAATTGTCATAGGATGTCACAACTTTCGCGAAGGTTATTGAGAATTGAAAATGCAGTACAGAGTGTAGCCATATGCAAAATGGTATAGTCGTTGTATTAATAAATTATCTGATCATCTAAGCCCTTCAGCAACTGTAGAATGATCAGTGGACGCAGAAATTTTCCCGGGAGACACTGACGTATGTCATTACTGTATTCACGACGGCAAGCATGAGAGCACTGTAACCGCTTGATCAAAATGTCCACTGATGATTTATATTCCGTAGCAGTCCTAAAATGACAAAAGGCAGTTCCATTACCGCTCAAGGCGTCAACAAGTGGCAACACAGTACCGAGTACAGGCAACGACACAGTTCCGTAGCCGCTGGACTAATTTGTTCACTGGTGACATAATTTCCACAGAAATTCTTGGATAATTGACGTTGACATATATCGGTTCATTACTAAGCGTAGCCATCAGCGGAGCACCCATATCGATTGGTAAAGTTGCTCGCTGATGATTTACATTCGAGAGCAATTCTAGAGTGAAAGAAGGCAGATCCACCATCACTCGAGGTATTATCAATCTACAAAACAGTACTGATCAACGCCATCATCAGAGAACTCTAGCCGTTGGAAGAATTTGATCACTGATGACTGAAATTCCACAACCAATCTAGCAAAATTAATGTATAGGTCAGCTGTGACTTGAGACATTTATAATTGGCAGCGCGGTACCCAGTACATCCACCAGCAGGACACTATAGCAGTTGGATATATCTGTCGACTAACGATTTAGGCTCCACAGCAGTTCGAGAGTGATCAACGGATAGATAACACATCGGAAGTGGTATTGATAAATGCTTGAGAAGGAATGAGTGTGTCCGTTATCACTATACCATAGCCATTGCATTAATCTCTCCGCTGATCACATACGTTCTTCTGTAATTGTAGAATGATCAATGGACTGAGCAATTTTCGCTAGAGATATTGACATATATCAATACCGTATTGCGTACAGCCGCCATCACTATAGCTGTTGAATTAATTTGTTCACTGATGACTTATATTCCATAGCAATTCCAGCATAACTAATGTATAGAGCAGTTACGGCAAGAGATGTATACAATTGGCGTTACTGTACTAAATTCATCCACCAACAAATCGTTGTTGCAGTTGTGTTAATCTTTTCAATGTTGATTAAAATCCTATAGCAGCTCTAGAACGTCAAAAGGAATAACCAGTATAGCTCGAGAAGTCAACAATTTACAAAATAGGCCCAATAAGTGCCATCATCGTTGCACTGTAGCTGTTGGATTAATTTCTTCACAGACGACTTAAATTCCACACCAATTCCTGTATAATCAATGTATGGAAGGGCTATGCCCAGTTATATTCACAGTAAACAGCACATTACATAATACATACGCGAACAGAGCATTGTAGTCCTTTGTTATATATGCTCACTGATGCCTTACGTTCAGTAGCAATTCTTGAATGACAAAAGACATGTTCATTGGCGCCCGATATATTAGCAATTGACAAAACAGTACTGTGTACTGATAACATCGCAGCACTGCAACCGTTGGATTAATTAGTTCATTGATGATTTAATTCCATAGCAATTCCTGGAAAATCAATGTAGAGTATGGTTGCGGCTAGAGATACTTGCAATTGGCAGTACGGCATATAGTGCATCCACTGGCAGAGCACTGTAGCCGTCGGAATAATCTGTTCAAAAATGATTCAATGGCAATTGCAAATCTATCAAAGGTAAATGATATATCGGTAGTGATATTGACAAACGATAACACAGTACTGCGTTTAGCCGTCAACAGAGCACCCTATACGATTGATTAGTCTGATAACTGACGACTAAGGTTGCAAAAGAATTCCGGAAGAACAAATGTATAGGTCGATTATATCTAGAGATATTTACAACTGGCATTACGATTCATAGTAAGTCCACAAACAGGACACTGCAGCCGTTGGAGTAACCTGGTCACGGAAGATGTAATTTCCATAGCAATTCTAAAAGGACGATGGACAGATCCATTGCCGCTCGAGATGTGAACAATTGACGGCACAGTACTGAGGGCAACCATCATCATTTTAACGTATCCGTCGGATAGATTTGTTCGCTGATAATTTATATTCCAGGGCAGTTCTGCAGTGATTAGTGCATCGTACGGTTAAGGCTAGAGATAATTACAGGTGAATGAACGGTGCCACTTTCATCCGCCAACAGAAAACTGTTGCTGTTGTATTATTCTGTTCACTGATGATTTAAAGTCCGTAGTAATTCGTGTTTGATCAGTGGATATATCACACATCGGTGCATTACTAGACTTTGCTGAGACCAGCAATGTACACAATAATAATTCAAATAGATTATTCGGATCGCTGACCAACTAAGTTCTTTAGCATCAGTAGAATGATCAATGGAAAGAGCAATTCAAGCTAGAGACATTGACATATGACAATGCATTACTGGGTACAGCCATCGAGAGTGAACTGTAGCCGTTGGTTTTGTATGTTCAATGATGATGTATATTCCACGGCAATTCTGAATTGTACAAAGATGGTTTCCGTTACGGCTGGTGACATTTACAGTTGAAAGTACGGTACACAATAAATCCACCGACAAAGCACTGCAACCGTTGGAGAATTCTGTTCAGGGATGGAGCAATTTCCATATCTATTCTAAATTGACAAAGGTCGGGACCATTGTCGCTCGAGGAACTAACAATTGACAAGACAGTTCTGTGCATAGCCACCATCACAATACGGTAGCCGTTGTATTAATTTGTTCACTGGTTATTTAAATTCCTCAACTACTTTCGCGTAATCAACGTATAGATTAGTTATTTCTGGAGATACTTACAATTGGCAGCACGGTGCTTAGTACAACAGCCAACAGAGCATTATATTCGTTGGATCTATCTGTTCACTGATAATTTAAGCTCTATAACAATTCTAGAGTGGTCAGCAACTAGACCAAATACCGATAGTGCTATTAACAAGTCACAACACAGTAATTAGCGTTAGCATCTATACAATACGATATTGAAGTAACATTTGAAGTAACCTTTTAGCTGGTCATCCAAGTTCGTCAGCAATTGTAGAGCATTCAGTCGAGAGAGCAGTAGTCGCTATAGGTATTGACATATGTTAAACAACACCGAGCTTCTTTAGTAATCTCTAAGTTTTGAGCCTTTTGAAACTATTTACGTTTTTATAATTCTAGAATCAATAGAGCATTTAAATTACGAGGAAACCAATGAATACAGCGTATTCAGTACCGTGTTAATTGCTGTAATCAGGAGTGTTTCGCCACGTCTTACTGTCCCCATCGATAATCCATCTTCCTTTCGTCAATCCAGAATTGCTGCAGTAATTATATAATCTGCGAAACGATTATTCCCTCGGCTCCAGTACTGTTTTGGTGACTGCAACCTGCGCCTCATTTTCAATTGTCAATATCATCTGCGGCAATTAATCGATCCATTGGTCATTCTGGAATTGGTGTAGAATTCAGATTATCTGCGAACGGATAAATACAACTGACATAGTGCTGTTCAGATTACGACAATTATTGCTCCATCTTCAATTGTCAATTTCCTCGGCGATAATTTGTCTATCCAGTGGTAACTCTAAAAGAGCAATATCGCATAGATCACCCTAATTTCGTTCGGCAAAGTGGCTGTCGTCCTGCTTTGATGGCTGAAAATCTGAGGATTTCTTCGAGAAAGTGACATCAGAGTAATTGCGAAGTGGAAGTCTACCAATGGCCGGAATCCCGCGTTGCTGGAAGGATATTCAAGGGAGAAGGCAGGAAATAGGAGTTTTGGCGTTCCCGACGCTCGACGGTGACACGCCCGAAACTTCGAGATTCGATTCTACCAGAACAAAGGAGTGGAAGAACTTCCCTCCAATTGTGCTGGTGACGTCTTGCAGTGTGCTCATTTTGAGCTAAGCATCTCCGTGATCTGCGAACTGCAAGTGGAATTAGAAGAATTTCAAGAAAATAATATTGACAGGCGGCCATCTTGGACGCCACGTAGCACGCAGCCACAGCGTCGGTCGAGCGTACCCCACGCTCGCCGCGGAGCGGCCTAACGGTACCTAAGGGTATATCGTTACCTGCAGCGGACTGCACACGGACGACCGCGAGGACTAAATAAACTTAATAATTCTATAATAAATAACATTTATATTTAAAAATAAGGATTAAAATTAAAAATTAATATCAAAATTTAAAAAAAATTAAAATTAAAAATTGAAATTTATAACGTATATCGAACATTATCAATACTACAAATAACACAAATAACAAGGTTAGAAGAAATTAAGAATCAAAAATTAAAATTGAAAACTAAAATTAAAACCAAAACTATATCAAGATTAAGGAAACCAAGAAATTGAGATTAAAATAACTAAACTAATTAACGGACGATAGTACACAAAGGTGCCTATGACGCCCGGCCCAGGTAGGAACCTGGAAAAACCCTCGGTCATGTTGACGCGAGCAAAGGTCCCGGCCTCCCTTGCCGGCCGCAAGGCAGGTAGGAGTATGGAGGAAAAACCATCGGGTAAGCGCAGGGCGAGTGCCACCCCGGAAGAACCCCGCCCAGAAGACCAGAAAAGCAAGAAGGTGGAAGCCAATGAAACGCCGGCAATTCAGCCAACGCGCACCGTTTCGGAGATGGTGAAACGCGCCACCGAAATCGAGAAGAAGATGCTGGCCTTCTGCCTCGACCCGGCAAAGAAGGTCGGGAAAGAGAACGCCGCAACGGTGATGGAGAGCTTCCTCGAAATGCGCAAGATCGTGGATGCCCTCACACTGAAGAATAGCTTCCTCTGCGGCAAACTGGAAGAGAGACTCTCGTCGTCAGACGAAGCGAAGGCAGCACTAACCGGCGCCGCCTCCAGGACAATGGAAGCGACAAAGCGCCTCGAATCCGCGGCTAAGGGAGCCACAGCCTCGGCCGCCGGGAGCGGACAAATATCTTACGCCGACAAACTGAAAGTGTCGAGCAGAGTTCTGCCGAAATCAGCAATAATGCCACCGAAGGACGTGGTAATTATAACGCCGTCTTTGGAGGATACCGATATCAGGACGAGCGAGGAAGCTCGCGAAGCGGTCTTCACCTTGGTCAACTCAAAGAAGAGGGGCATAAAGGTGAAGTCAGTACGCCGCGCACAAGGCAATGGCATAGCGGTAGAAACGACTACCGCAGAAGGTCTCAGAGCGTTCACGGAGAACGCTAAATTGAAGGTTATTGGCCTGAAGGCGAGGACGCCAACCAGAAGCAGACAGAGGATGATCATATACGACATCCCAAGAGAACTGACGGAAAAGGAGATCCGCGCTTGCTTGAGGAAGCAAAATAAGGAAAAGCTGGGCGACGCGGATGTGCAAGACATAAAATTCTGCTTCCGTACAGGGAGAAAGGATAGCGACGAGACATACTGGGTCGTAGAGGTCAGCCCTCAAATACGAAGCAAAGTGATATCCGGGAAATTTTTCATATCCTGGAATGCATGTAAAGTCCGGGACTTCATTGCCGTCAGCCGCTGCTACAAGTGTGAAGGCTTCGGGCACGTGGCCAAGCACTCTAGACAGAAGCACGATACCTGCGGTCACTGTGCCGAAACCGGGCACGACACAAAAGCTTGCCCAACAAAGAAGAATAACGCAGTCTGTGTAAATTGCAAGAGGAGCGGCAAGAAGAGCGATCACGCAGCCTCTAGCGTGAATTGCCCGTCCTATAAAGCTGCACTGGAGAGGACAGTCGAAAGAACCGTCTATGGATAAGAAGAAAAACGGTCGGACGGAGGAGATAAGTATCCTGCAGCACAATATGCATAGGCCAAAAATCGTGCCCCACGTGGTTAGGTCGCAGATGGAGCTAACGGGCGCAGATATCATACTGATGCAGGAGCCCTACACCATGGAAGGTAACATACCTGGATTTGGGACGAGCGTCGCGATCGTGTGTCGCGGGGATAAGAGTGCCCCACCCCTCGCGGCGGTGGGGATCAGAGGAAACCATATCTCGGCTCTCGAAATCGCGAGTTTGTGCATGAGACACTGCGCTTGTGTACAGATAAGCGACGGAGACACCGAGGTATACGCGGTCAGTCATCGGCATCGCGCAGCTGGATAAGGTTTTGACGTACCTGCGGGGCAAAAGGGACATCGTCGGAGCGGACGCCAACGCCAAGTCACCCCTGTGTTTCAGCAGGGAGCTTGACGAACGCGGCGAGCTCCTCGACGACCTGATTGCATAGCACGGTCTGTTGGTGCTGAACTGGCCGTGCGACGTCACAACGTTTGAGACAACGCGCGGGAAATCTAACATCGACGTGACGCTCGTCACTCCGGAAGCACTACCGCTCGTGCACGACTGGAAGGTGCACGAGGACGGAACCTCCAGCGACCACCGGGTACTGGAGACGCGACTTAACCTCAAGAAGTGGAAGGCACTGCCACCATCACTGCCACTACGCTACCACGCCAGGAAGGCCAAGTGGGAAAAGTTCCACAAGCTCATCATCGAAGAGAAGAGGAACCTGTCCGAAATGGTAATCAGGTGCCAAGAGGACGTAGAGAGTATTGTCGTAGAGCTGGAGCGGGTTCTCACCAAAGCCTGCGACGCGGCCGTACCGAAGAAGAAGTGGTACGAAAGGTCCAACTCTTGGTGAACCCAAGATCTCACACGTGCCAAGAGAGATGCGTACCGAGCAAGAAGGAGGTACCAGGGGACCAAGGACCCCGCAACGAGGGAGACAGAGAAGCAGAGATACCGCGAATTACGAAGGAAGTACACCAGAATGGTGACGAACGCGAAGATCCAAAACTGGCGCCAGTTCGTCACCGAGGAAGGAAATAAAGAGCCCTGGGGAATTGTCTACAAGACTGCCCTCGGGAAACTGAGGAGAGAAGAGGCGACGTGCGCACTTCGCACGCCGCAAGGAGAAAGCTCGAGCTGGTGATCCACGGCAGAGGCGATGTTAACCGCGCTCGTTCCAAATGACTACGTGGAAAAAGACACGCCCGAGCAACGGCGGATCCGAGAGGACTCCAAAAACGCCCCGGAAACCGCAGACAGCCCCCCATTCAGGTACGAGGAACTGGGCAGCGCGATAGCGCGGCTCAAAAGAGGAAAATGCCCTGGCCCCGACCGAATGGAGTCGGAGGTCATTCAGGAAGCATGG